AATTAAGGAAGCTGACACCACCAGATGATGGAGCTGCGCTAGAGGAGACCAAGTGGGCACAGTTTTACCGTGTTTCACCTTCGGCTCGGCCAAATAGATCAGCACATGGGAAACACTCCCTGTGCCGAGAGGCACATCCTGCTCATTGAACCAAATTTGGCAGCTGCCAGCAAATCCAGGAGGCCTTGGGCTTGCTAATGTGAGGAGGTGAGGGTGGTGGGGATCATTCTGCCAGAGTAACTGAGTGGTCTGCTCCTTGACAGACTTTTCCTGAGTTTTTTTCGGGTGTGCCAGAGTCAGGACCAAGCACTCCGGTATTATTGCACCAGGCTTAGATGGTGCCTTTATTGTGTGTTCAAACAATTTGGGCCCTTGAATCACAGCTTCCCTGAGGCTTGAACTATTGCCAGAGGTGGCACTTTGCGCTGCTCCCTGAAGCAACGTAGACCTGGAATGTAGTTCTAGCTGTGAACTGTGATCATATTGGATAATCAGTGTAGATGTGTGTGAACTGCTGGAGAGACTCAAAATGACTTGAGAGTTGACATAATTAAGCACGAGGGTGAGAGAGGATGGCGATATGTCCTCCAAAAGTTGAAATTTTCTTAGGTGAGAAAAATGGAAAGAACAAACTTTAAGTTTAAAAAAAGACTAAGGTTGACCAAAATGACTTGAGGGACCTCTGGCTCAAGTTCTGAAATGTTAAAGGAGTATTTTTCCCCCCCAAACCATCAGGGGTGGGGAGCAAGCTGGAGAGTCTGTAAAACCAAGGGATGATTCAGGAGAACTTTTTGTGAAGGGCTCTGAAAAAGTAGGAATGTTTAGAGGCTCCCAAATGCCAGTGTTTGCTGTTAAAGGATTATCTGGCTCAAGTTGAAGAGTTAATACAACAAAGATGTCATTTGTCAATAAACCACATGCAAATCTTTGTTTTTAAATGATTCTCTGGCTCCTGTTGAATGGTTAATAGTGGTGTTTATCCATAAAATATAGGAACAAATCTTTAGGGGTTATCTGGTCTTCATTCAAGAGATCTAAAGAATGAAATAGCTGAGCCATTAACTGTGGGGTGTGATGTTTAAAAAGTCTTGATTACAGAGAAGAAAGAGATGTGTGTGGTTTGTTTTTTGGATCCAAAGGAGGGAGATCACATAGTGCTTTCTCTGGAAGTCTCTTCTGTCCTTGAGATCTCTACATCAGAACAGAACCTTCCTTGTAGCTTTTTTTCTTCAAGTGAACACTAGGTTCAGGAGCCCTTTGGCCAAAGAGGCAATGTGCCAGGCAGCAGTCATCATGGCATGTTTTGTTTGTGAGTTCAGGGTTGTTCTGTAGATCAGGAACACACAGTCTTTTCTGGATGATCTAGGCTGCTTGAAGACTAGGAAGAAAGCTGGGTTCAGCTGGTACGATCAGATCAGGACTTAGCTTGCGGTGTATGTGTGTGCCTCAGGAAGTTCTGTCTTTTCTCAGCTTGGCCGATAGCCTGCTTTATGCACTGCTAGCCGAGAGTTTGCTGCCTGTCAGCAAAACTGTCCTGAGTCAAGATCCTGTTGAATCATTTAGGTTGGAAACGGTGTTTCTGTGGTCATCCAGTTCAGCTCCCCAGTCAAAGCAGGGCCAACCTCAAAGGTACGTAGGTTCCTCAGGACAACGTGCAGTCAAGTTTTTGCCTATCTCTGAGGGTGGAGATGCAGTAACTTTTCTGGGCCCTTCTTCCAGCGCTTGATCACGCTTGTGCTTAAAATCTTTTTAGTAATGTCTAATTGGCGTTTTCCTTTTTACAACTTTGATCTCCCCTTCATCTTCTTAAGGCTGAACAAACGCGTTTCCCTCAGCTTCTCCTCATACATATGTGGCTTGAGCCCTCGACTGCCTTGGTGCCTCTGCTGCACTCACAAGCTCCAGTTCGTTACTCTCCCGTGTGCTGGAGAGCCCCAAACTGAATATGATACTCCCAGGTGCTCAATAGAGGGGAGCAAATCCCTTCCCTTGACCTGCTGGCTGCATTCTTACTGGTACAGCCCAGGATGTGGCTGGTGGAAGTAGTTCTCTTATCGTACTGCTTCATCATGTTGGTCTTTCCACCCTCCTCCTCATTTCCACCTCCTCCCTCTTTTGGGTATTTTTCTAAGCGGTCTTCTTACTATTTCCTTTTTCAAACACTAACGCTTTCCTGGTGCTTGTGTAATTACATAATTTATGCATGGTGAGAGCTGAATTGTTGAGCATGAGCTGATGGTTGTGGTCCCTGTGGTGCTGAAGGCATAGGGAAGAGCAGAAAAAGTTCTGTATGTAAAACTCTTAACCATTACGTAGGAAGTTGAAAACTAGGACCTTTGCTATTCCCCACCTTTGCACAGTTCTGGGCCTTGCCCAGTACCAGAAAGGGAAGTGAGGAGGAACAGTTCTGGTATGTTGCTGAGGAATTGGTCTGAGGAGGAGAGGTCCAGATTCTCTGGAAGCTGAGGGTCTTCTGAAATAGAGCATGTTTTCTAAAGAAGGGACTGACTTAATTTAAAGCACTGTAAAACTGGGATTCACGTGTTTAAAATCAGAGAATCCCAGACTGGTTTGGGTTGGAAGGGACCTCACAGCCCACCCAGTGCCACCCCCTGCCATGGGAAGGGACACCCTCCACTAGCCCAGGGTGCCAAAAGCCCCATCCACCCTGCCCTTGCACACTGCCAGGGAGCCGGGGCCAGCCACAGCTTCTCTGGGCACCCTGTGCCAGGGCCTCAGCACCCTCACAGGGAAGGATTTCTGCCTCACATCCCATCTCCATCTCCCCTCTTTTAGGTCATGCCACCAAGATGTGAAATGTAGAGAAAGACAGAGTTGGCCATGCTTGTGAAGTTGTGGTGCTATTTATTAAGGAGATCATAGACTAAGATCTATAAACTTATAGATCTCTATGGATTAAAATTCCTATGTAAACAAGAAAAAAAAATAATCTGTTACTACCATTTCCATGCTATTTGATTGGGGTGGTGACAGCAATTGAGATGGAGAAGTCAAAAACAGGCAGCACTTGCTGCAGGAGACTTAACCCACTTAGCCTGTAACTTTGGGGTCCAATTCTGAAATAATATTTTTAGACGTGGTTAACGTTTTATGGAGCAGATAGTCGGGGAAGCTACAGGAAGAAAGGCGGTACTGTGAAAGAATAGCAGGACGCTGGCTGCGGCCTGTTTGGATTTATACCTTTACGTGAACAAGAGCCCAACAGTAACTGTTAATTCCAAAGCGCAGTAACCTAAAACTGTGGAAGTTTGTTAAAGACAAACTGAGCAGGGCAGGGGTTTCTGTCATTCCGGGAGATATTAAGAGAATTCCAGACCATGCAAATTAATAGAAATAGAACAAACAAAATGAGTATATGCATAAATACTGCAGTGAGGAAGAAGAGCCTGGCCGTACCTTACAGTCCTGTTGAACGCAGCAGTAAAGATCGGTCTGCCTGGATTTGCAAAAGCCATTTGGCAAGGTCCAGTCTCAGAAATTCTTGAGGGACGTAAAGGAAACGTGGGATAAAGTGAAGGAGCTCGTGCGGTTGAATGGTGGGTTAGACGGTTAGCTAACGGGTAGGGAAGGGGGCAGAGAAATGAAAGGTCGGTGTGTGTGTGTCATGGCCACTCGCCTCCCTCCAGCTGAGCATGTTCACTGGTGGGTTTCTGTGGGGATGGGTGCTAAGCCTCTGATCTTTGCTACCTTAATAAATGACCCAGAAGTGAAATTAATAGTAAGATAATAATTTTTGCTACCTAGAGTTGTAAAATCAAGGGCTGACTGTGAAGACCTGTAGAATGGTCTGACAGTACCGGGTGACTGGTGATAAAATGAAGGATGCAGTTCAGGCTGGAGAGATGTAAAATGGTTCTCATGGGGGGGAGAATAAACAATCCAAACTTGACATAGAAAATGGTCTCGGAGCTGCCTCTTACGGTTTGTGTCCTTGTTCCATGGAAAAATCAGCTCAGTTCTCATCTGCAGTCAAAAAAGAAATGTAATAATAGAAACCAGGAGGGGGAGGAATAGAAACCAAAATGGAGAACATCATTATATGGTTGTCTGTGATAATCACTGTGTGTTTGTGTTGTGAACGATGCTTGCGGTTCTGGTTTCCCCCTGCTTCTCAAAGAAGATACAGAACTGGAAGTGTAGCAGGAGTATTAAGTGGTATAGATTAGCTTCCGTATGAGGAACAACGGAGTAGATTGGGAGTAGTCAACCTTGAGAAGAGACCATTGGGGAGTGCGGTGTGAATGAGGGCTTTAAAATCCTTGAGAAAGTTAACGGAGAAATGCTATTCTGCTCTTCCAGTTCTGAAAATGCAGGTACCAAGCGAAACTAGTTTGGACTGTAACTGAATGGTGGAACTGCAGGATGTTGTCTGTTCAAAGAGCTTACAAAGGCTCAGAAAGCGATTGGATTAATGGAGGAAAACCTGTTGGGGTGCGAAATGCAGAAAGACCACCTTTTGCTTAGGAAATTGTGTAAAATAGGTTGGACAATGAAAGAATGTTCTGGGAAAGTACAACTGTTTGCTCTGTCCCGTGCATCTGCTGCCAGCTATTTCTGGAGTCAATGTATTAGGCTAGACGGACATTTATTCACATATACTACATCTGCCCTTATGTAATTTTTTTACTCTCTTGTTAATCACCTATACAAATATTTTTTCTGATACATGGAGAGACCCCCAAACACAGCAATTTAATTGCTGATTGTTTTCCAGTCCTTTTCCTACCAATTAAGGGCTAAGGAGTAGCTGTAATTGTATATCAAAAAGCTGTCAGTCACTAAAGCAGTCTGACATTTTACCTTGGATTCAAGAGAAGACTAAAAAAGTAAAAAATCTTTCATGATTTCAGCATTCTTACCTTAAATGATTAGTGGATTATGGTGTTTGGGTTTTTTTTCTTTTCCTTTCTGTATTTCTACTGCAGGAAATCTTGTGGATTGGCCATTCTGTACTTGACTGATATTTTGTTTTTTTGAAGGTACATGGGAATAGGACTTTCTGCTCAAGGGGTCAACATGAACAGGCTTCCTGGTAAGTCACTGTTAAGATTTGGTTTGGCTTACAGTCTATAGTAAATGTTCATTTGAAATAAAGATTTTAATTTATATATATGAATTAGCGAATGTGTGTTTCTCTTAATAAAATGTCATGACTTTAAGCACCTTACGTCTGGAAGTTGCAAACTATTGAGTGTTATCCTAATTGAGTTACTAGTATTGTTAATGTAGTCATGATGATTTTAGCAGATAGTAGAAATTAATATTAAACTAATGAGCAATGGGTAATTGCTAATAAACTAATGAGTAAGATGATGAGCTTTCAGATAGGCAAGCTCTTCTTTGCATCTGAAAAATAAGTAGCAAAATAATTTGACATTTAATGTGTTTATCCCACTTGACAAATTTACATGAAAGAACCTGAAAATGACAGGATAATTGGCCTGTCATATTGTCTGTCCTCTCTTCTTTCCCTCTTTCAACCGAAAAACTAGAAAAATGTGATAGAGTGGTATTTCCACTTTAATATTTTTTTGCTTCGTTTGAAATGTTTGGTTTTAGGTCAGCCTCTGAATTGGTTAAGTAGCTTCTTTTTAAAAATAAATAATTAGTAATCTTTCTTTAACAATATCCAATTTATGAGGTAAAACTAGAATTTCTAGATTTAGATCAACATAGTGACCTCTGTAGTAGGAATTCTTTCAGCTGCGTTTGAAACTAGAAGTTGTCTTTGTTTGGTAGAACGTAAATGTTCTTCAAGTGCCAGAAGGAATGACGGTGGGTTCCCAGTGGTGGGGGCTTGCTTTGGTCTTGGGTGTGATTTACTTCTGGTGGAGTTGCTTTGAAGCTGCAATGTGTGTTCAACCCTTATTATGCATCTTGGTATCTCCAAAGGAGAAGGTTTTGTGAATATCCTAACAAAAGGAAGAGCTTCTGTAGGGTTAGCACTGAGACCCTTGTGAATTCACTTCTTGGTGAGGATTTTGCTTTCGTCTTCACTGGTAACCTGCATATTCAGAGAGCGGAACATGCTCCTTTTTTCCCCTCATAACCTCCAAGAGAAAATATTGCAGCATTGGAGCAAAATCCCTCGCTATTCTGTTAGCAAAATACGTGATTCTGTAGCTCTGTTGTAAATTTCTGAAGTGTGTATAGCTGTGTTTCTGAAATTCTGCTGAGACTGCAGACGGAGTCTCAGCAAGAAGATGAAAAGGGGACTAAGACAGCCGGGGTCATTTCAGAAAATAGCCAACTTTCTGGTGCCCATTCTTCTAATTGTAAATCTGCTGCTGAATTTTCCAATGACCAGCTGCCTTGTCTTGTTACTGAAGAGAAGCGTGGAGATCTTGGAGTGCACGATGGAGCATTTGGGACCTTTTGCATTGATAGAGAAGAAATTTGGAATTGTAGGCTAATTGCATTAGTTAATGAGTTAAATTAAAATTTCACCAGTGAAAGAATAAGCATTGTTGTTTTAGTGACAATGTCAGCGTAGCGTGTGGGCCATTCATAAATCACAGCTGTGGTTAACAGTTGCAGGCAGATTTTCCTTTTCCAGGGTCCACTTTGATCATGTTTGATTGACCTCGAGAGTTGTCTTTTGGGCACTGTCAGAGGCAAGTCCGAAGACCTGTTGGTCTGACTCGGGCACAGCATTCCTTGCATCTCCTTTTCTCCAGTAATTTCAGATTTGCCCAGAGGGCTTGTGGAACCTCTAACTTTGGAGATATTTAGGACTCAGCAGGACATGGCCTTGACCAACCTGATCTAACCAGACCTCCTCTGAGCAGGGGTTGGACTAGGTGACTTCTGGAGGTCCCTTCCCTCCTTAGTTATTCTACACTCTCCTTTTGGAAGAATGGTTTCAGTGACGCCCATGTTTTAAAGAATTTGCATCTTACTGCAAGCTGTAACAGTTACTGCAGACTTTCGTGGTTGGACTCGATCTTAAAGGTCTTTTCCAACCTGAATGATTCTACGATTCTGTAATTGTTAATGGTTGGTTATGACAACTACAACACACACATTGGAAAGAGAATTAAGGTCACAGGTCTTTATCCACTCAGAAGTAGAGCAGGGAAGGAGGAAGGTAAGACACTGCCAGTTTTCTCAAGTGATACTTGGTTGCAAAAAGGTAGGAAATGTCTAGATTGAGATGATCTGGTGTCAGCAGGTATAGAAGTCTCCGTTTTCAGACTCCTTCTCTCTCTGTGCTCTCTCTCCCCATAATCCTCTTGACCCAAGTCAGTTGTGTGCATGCACAAGGTGAAGCATGAGCCTAGTCCCATCATCTCTTCCCAGGATTGAAGTGCTTGGCTGCTTGGAAGTGGAGCTGTTTGGCTATTAAGGGAGCACATTCTGTTTAAGAAATGGCTCTCTGGCCTCTGCCATGGAAAGAGGTGGGATTGGCCTGTAGACTTGGCCTGTAGACTGCTGGTTAGATTATGTTTAACCTAGGGTTTTCCTGGGATTATAACACAGATACATATATATGTAACACAGTTGAATACTGACCTGGGATGATATGTACTGAATATCATAGGTGTGCTGTCCTGGAATTGAACAGCCAACATATTTTTTTTTCCCCTTTTAGAGACTAAAAATAAGCCAAACCACTTCTGATAAGTGGCTTTAAAGCCCAAGAGCTACATGGGCAGTGTTTTGTGGCCAGTTTGAATCAAAGTGCCTGTATACTATTATTATTTCTAGGGTGTATGTGGTGAATGTGGATTTCTTTTCTGAGTGAAATAAAACATAGAGTGAACTTGAGACTTCAGATGTGCTTATTTAGCAATGAATTGTACAAATTTGATCCTGTGAACCTGTCGTTTGATCACATGCAGATTATGCTGCCAAGAGTGATTCTGCGGGCATAGTTAGGTCCATCTCTCATCATCTGTGTAAAATGAACTGCATGGCTCTGTATTACAGCTCAATAATTATCTTTCTGGCTTTTGGAGAACGAGACTGGTTTTTTTTTTTTTTTTATAGTATATTGCTCAAGTAACTGAAGTGAGAAACATATATCAGGCTTAACCATTACCGGGTCCTTCGCAGCACAGGGTGAGCGAGAGCTCACAAAGAAGTGACAGACTTTGGAGTCTTGATTTGGCTTCACGTCAAAGTGTAATTTTAACTTTTTGTGACCTGAAACCCTGCCAGGTTTCTCTCCTTAGATCCTTTCTAAGTCACTCCTGCTTTAAAAGATCAATTTTCACTCGGTGTGCTGGCAGGGCCATATGTGACCCACTAGAAGTAGTGGTTTGGGAGCCCAAAGCCAAAGTTGGTCCCTTTCTTGTTCCCGCTTTCAGTGGGGATCCTTGGCACCCCATCAGCCCTAAATCAAAGAACAGTCTTGCTGCTGGGTTCTGTCTCAAACTCCTTTCCCCCCCTGAGAACACACACTTTGGCCATATCCAGTTCCAAGTCTCAGGGCATTTGTGCTTTATGCCAAATTTATTTTGGCTCGAGCCCAGCTCGGTGCTGGTGGGGGTAGTGCTGAGCTTTCTCTGAAGGTTGGAAGTGTGGTTGGAGCAACCTGAGCGTTCCCGTGAACTACCCCTCTCTGCGTTGCGAACAGAGACTGCTTTTAAAAGGAGAGCGCCCTGTCCCAGTTCGACTCGAGGTTTCTGTGGGCTGTGCTTTGAAATTCAATCAGCAGGTCTGGAATTACTGTGGCATTTGTATTGAAATGCCAACTTTTGTGACCCTGACATGTCGTGATGATGGTTTTGTGGGGTTTATTTTATTTTATTTTTTAAAGGGCATTTAAAACACTTACTAATAACCATTCTGCTTTAAACTAGTGGCTTTTATTGAAATGTCTACTCCCTTCTTTCCCCAGATACAACTTTTTTTTCACGTGTGCTCAGCATTTTGGTATCTGAGGATGAAATTACATGTTACAGCTGAACTGGTCTAACTCACTGTCATCAAAGGAGAGAAACCTGACCCTTCCTTTTCCCCCTGCAGCTGCACAGTCCCTCTTCTTCCCTTGTGCAAGCTCCTGGCTCTGGCAGTTGTCACCTCCTTTGCCAGGCCTGGCAGGAACCTGCCAGCTTCTCTGCTGTGCTGGGGTGGTGGCAGGCTGGTTCCTTCAGAACTCGTGGAGCAATGCTCTGTTCTTTAAATTATTTAGCCTTCAATCCAGTAAGTTTTTCTAAGCCCAGCTGAAAATGCGTTGGTGGTTTGTTACAGGTTTCACCTAACCTTCATAAAATGGACAAGATAGGTGACCCTGTCTTTAATATGGATGAGATGTGCATGCTGGAGATGATTCTCCCCTGCGTGTGGTGTTCTGCTTTCGTTCAAGTCCTTCACGCTGTTTAAATTATTTAGCCTTCAATCCAGTAAGTTTTTCTAAGCCCAGCTGAAAATGCGTTGGTGGTTTGTTACAGGTTTCACCTAACCTTCATAAAATGGACAAGATAGGTGACCCTGTCTTTAATATGGATGAGATGTGCATGCTGGAGATGATTCTCCCCTGCGTGTGGTGTTCTGCTTTCGTTCAAGTCCTTCACGCTGTTGAGACATAACGTTTCATTTGTTCTAGCTCTTTGAGGGTGACCCAGCAGGAACGTACAGCCAGGAGAGAGGGAAGGAGGGATGATTCTCTATGGTAGCAGCAAGGTCTTAATTCAGCCTAAAATGTTGTGAAACCATACCCGTAGGCATGCCCTGCTTCAGCTTCTGAAACAGCGTAGATAGGATCTGACCAATCACTTTTAGAGACTTTAAACACCCTCTGGTTAATAACTGACTTGCCCTGCTATGCAGCATTGCACGTGTTAAAGGGAGTGCCAGCTTTCACTCACCATTGTTTTGTTTTATGGAACTTTGATTATTTTTTTACCTTACTTTTCAAATAAAAAGGTACTGCTTGGCTTATTCACTCTCTGCCTGCTTCAGACTCCCTGTTTGAAGAACAAGCTTTCAACTTCAAGAAGGTTTTATAGACTTGAATTAGCATGCGGCCAGATAAACCAGCAGAGTTTGGGGTACAGAAACCTGCTCCGTTATTGGGGTTTGGCTTCT